GTGTAGGGTTCGGCTGCAGTACACGTGGCAGGAGACGAAGTACACCAAAACGGTGCCGTGTGATGTGTGGAAGATGGAATTCGGTGGATTTGCATGGAGGCTTGACACGAGGGCTGCTCTCACTCTTTGGCTTTGACGCCCGCCATCTGTGACTGGTAAGATGATTTAAAATGTTAAATTTTGATTATAAATAAATAACATAAAGATTGAAATCTTATATATTGTTGGTACGTCGTCAGCTAAGAAAGTTGATGGAAATAAAATAAGAAGGATTGAAAGATGAAATGCTAATGTAAGCGCAAGAGCGACCAGAGATTTGTGTGTGTGGAAATGTTTATATGAGCTGAAAATGCAATAAATGTCAAAAACTGATTGGCAAATATTAAATAAATGATGCTATTATATATATATTCTGTTTTAAGTTTTTAGTGTCGATCAGACAATAATACATATGGAAAAACGTGGCACGTTGTTTTACGATGTATATATAATTGAAAAATCTATAAAATTTTGAAAAATAATACATACAGTACACTTTGAATTATCTTGCTATGTAATTTTTCCAGTACAAAATCATACGAAACAATTCATATATTGACTTTTGAAAGAAACATCCAATTAGAAAATGGTATGTAATACACTAGGGTATGTAATTTTCCAGTACATATAGGCTAATTAGAAAGAAACATCATACAATACACACATGCATAACCTCCATATGTATTCATGTACACATATGGCCATGATCAATATATATATCAATAAACACTGTTAAGTAAAAATAAAAATATGTATATCACAAACACGTTCGAAGAGTAGCAGGTAGGATCCTCCGTTATAAACAAAAATGTATATCACAAACGATTTTGCTTTTGTCTTCCGAGAAATTATTATATATATATATATGTGTGCGCGTGCTATGCTGCCCGTGCATAAAATGAATGACATTAAGAAATCCTCGTATTATTTATATACCATGGACATTCTTGATTTTGTGTTGATATATTTTCTAGGGTTTGTTTCGTGATGTATTCGAGGGGCTTGTGAATTAGTCATAATTCAGATGATCTTTCAACTCCTTTGATTACACTTTTCACGATGTATTATATCGTCGATATATACATACACACATATAGGCTAATGCTACGCCTTGTCTTCGTATATGTACGTGTGTATATGCGTTTTATATATGTATGTATTTGCATGTTAATTTGTAAGAGTAATTGGGTACTTTAACGTTAGATCATGCATGCATGTGCGTGTATATATATATAAACACGTATGGTGTGGGTGTGTGTAGATGCTTGTAATGATTATACATCAAATCAAACTTTCATCGTGGGTTTCGCTAATTCTTCGCCCAGTGGATGCATCCCATTGGTGGATGAAAAGCGTGTGAGGAAAAGCGTGTGAGGAAAAGGAACGAACCAAAAAAAAAATGTGGAATGGAATAAATAAAGTTGCGAATGAAACACTCATCACGCCTCCATTTATTCACAAAGGAAACGTACACGTGGCATTTCGACCGAGGCGTTGGACAACAAACCCAACCAACCCTTGTCCTGGGCAATTTTTTTATGTGCAGTTGTCCTTTTCATCATCTCCGATAGTCAGATTACGCTCCTCGGTTCCAGGTATCACATCTCCACCGTCCACGTGGTCATCTCCTGCTGTGACAGGTGGAATATCCCAACGCTTCTACAGTAGAGATCGGTTCAGAGTCCGCCACGTGTACTATATGCTGTAAATTTCTCTGAGCTGTAAATTTAAACTCTACATCATTGTCTAGATCGCACTTATTACTAAATTAGTGTATATATAGATTTTTTCTATAGAGATTTGTATGTATCGGTCTATACGACATCATCATGCATTAGAATCATATGTATATGTTTAATATCGTTGGATTGTATTTCAATAGGAACATTATCCCTTATTTTGTTATATGAACTTCAAACCATATCTTTCATCTTTTTTTGCATGATTCGTCGTGATATATTTTACGTTTTATGGATCATATAGTTAAAATTCCATAATAGTTATACATGGTCATATTGATCATACAAAAATGTATTAAAAATGGTATGATCTAAAATTTATATAGTAAAATAAAAGTAATTTTGATATAACATAATCACTTCAACAGCATAATATTTTTCATTTGCTTTTCCAAGATTCTGTATTTTCTTCTTCAATTCTTCTTAATTTATTGTCACATTGATGTGACAAGACTCATATTATTTTTATATTTAGTCCATAGGTTCGTTGGTATTGGATTGGTATGGTAGCACTACAATCATAATTGTACTTTTGTTACAATAAACACCATTAAAATGGGTCTTATTTCAATATATATACATATACCCTTGTTTATTTATATTTAGTTACATACCATGTATATATACATTTAGTCGGTGTAGTTATCTGTCTGTATTCAACACACACACACACACACACACACACACATATATATATATATATATATATTAATATGTATCCTATTTTGAGGTAAATTTCCTGGCAATTTGGGGGTCGAATAATAAATAGTTACAGTTATAAGATCATTGGTGAGTGAAATTATTGGGCCTATGTTTAATTTGACGGCCCATAATAAGCTTCGTCTATTATTATGTTGAGCCTAAAGTATGAGATATTGAGCCCATTTCAGGCTTATTCAAACTAACACTCTCTGTATCTCTCTCCCTCATCTCCTAAACCCTAACAAACCCTCTCTCTCTCTCCGGGGAAGCGAAATGGGAAGTCAACAGGCGGCTGCTGCGTTCCTCTCGAACCTCGCCAAGGCGGCGTTCGGGCTCGGCACGGCGGCGACGGTGGTTAATGCGTCTCTCTACACGGTCGACGGTGGCGAGAGAGCGGTGCTCTTCGATCGGTTCAGGGGAGTTTTGGATCAGACCGTCGGCGAAGGCACTCACTTCCTCGTCCCGTGGCTCCAGAGACCTTTCATCTTCGACATCCGTACTCGGCCTCACACTTTCTCCTCCATTTCCGGCACCAAGGATCTCCAGATGGTTCATCTCACCCTTCGTGTTCTCTCCCGCCCCCAGGTATAATGCGTTCCGCTTCTTTCCATGCCTTGTTCTGTTGATTTAGCATTCGTTTCTCCATATTTTGTTTGAATTTCGTCAATGGTGCATTGTTCAGATTTTGTTGGTAATGATGTTCTGTTTTGGGATCTAGGCTGTAGTGGTTTGGTCATCCGATTCTAATGGATAATCTGCTTTTTCAAATGAATTACTGTTTTATCTGAGGAAGAATTCGGCCTAAGCGAGGTGGAAATGTTTTCGACTTGAATGCTGTGGAGGTGAACCTGATCCTATTTAATGTTTACCCTTTGCCTTGGAGATTACAAGTTACATTTGATCTAGGAGTTCAATATGCACCAGTGATGGAAGCGTTTGGTGATCTGGCTGATCTGCTCTTCGTATTATGATCCTGGATACTTGTGAGGAGGAACCTTGGATTAAGCAAGGTGGAATCGTTCTTCTTCCAAAGCTGAATGTTGCAGAAAAACCTTATGATCAAAGTATAGGCGAGAATGAATATGTTTATCTTAAAGTAGAATGGTTGTCTTTTATTACGAGCTTGTTGCTTAATTCATTTGAGATTTATCATTTATGGAAACTGACATGTTTATGTGGCGATTAAATGTTAAAGGAATCCCGTCTGCCGCACATTTTCCAAACCTTGGGTCTGGAGTACGATGAGAAGGTTCTACCCTCGATTGGTAACGAGGTCTTGAAGGCTGTTGTAGCTCAGTTCAATGCTGACCAGCTCCTCACGGAGCGTCCCCAGGTTTCAGCTCTTGTTCGGGAGTCGTTAATCAGGCGTGCCAAGGATTTCAACATTGTGCTGGACGATGTGGCTATCACACACTTGTCCTATGGAGTGGAGTTCTCGAGGGCAGTGGAGCAGAAGCAGGTGGCTCAGCAGGAGGCTGAAAGGTCAAAGTTTGTGGTGATGAAGGCTGATCAGGAGAGGAGGGCTGCTGTTATAAGAGCAGAGGGTGAGAGTGAATCTGCTCAGTTGATATCTGATGCAACAGCCAAGGCGGGTATGGGACTGATCGAGCTCAGGAGGATTGAGGCTTCGAGGGAGATTGCAGCTACACTCGCTAGGTCTCCCAACGTGGCTTACCTACCCGGTGGCCAAAGCATGATGTTTGCCCTCAACCCTTCTACCCGTTGAGAGAAATTGGTACGTGCTTTTCATCCATTCCGCTTTCAATAAACCGAGCGATCGATCTTATATTTCGTATTACATTGTGGGACCATTTTACCCCCACCAGATTCTTCCAAGGGTGCTTTTACTAACTCCGATGGCTGTCCAGTTAAATGGATCAGATGGCTGTTTAGGCGATGTTTTGTCATATTTAGAGCACTTTGGTTGTTTTGGAAAGAGTTGTTGGTCGTCCTTCTCATGTGCTGTCTTTGAGTAACTGTACTGTTTTGTCACTTTGTGTAGATCGCAGGTATGTGAATCTGATGAAATCAATAAAAAAGAGGAGGTCAAGGCTTTTGTTTCTAGTGAACTCTTTTAGGGGAAAAAAACGGGCTTTCTGCTTTGGGGTCTTTTATGTTCCTTACTCTGCGCAAAATTATTTTACCATTGTTGAAACCTCTCTCTCTCTCTCTCTCTCTCTCTCTCTCTCTCTCTCACGCGCACACACACATATCATTGAGCTCCATCTGCATCCGTTGTAATAATTTGGCTTTTACTTAATTGCTGAACTCTTTGCACATGGATATATGCCTAAGGCTGTTACAAGTAACTGATGACAACTTCAATAATTTTTCTTAGAATGTATGCTAGTAAGTAATAATGTAAGAGTGACGTTTTCAAAGGATTCAATATGTGTACACACACACATATATATATATATATATATATTATAATTGATTATTAATGAATTAAAAGCTCCATAATTCTATAATCATCTGAGATCGAAATGGTATGGCATACTTTCAATGTCGTAGACCTCAAGGGGTCATGAACCAACAGTCCAAGAATAAAGGCGTGTACCCTCGAGAACCAATTAGTACACAAAAGGCCAACAACGCTCTTATTTTTTTGGTCCAAACATACACAAAGCCGCTTTGCTTTGCCCTTCGGACAGAACAGTTGCGAGGAACACTCCCTAGACTGAACCCCTCAACAACATTATCTATTCAGAAGGATAAAAGCTGTAACTTGTCCCATACCCACATATATATATATATATATATATATAGGTCGTAAGTGTGGTATGCATATGTGGTGTGTGTGTGTGAATAAGGGTATTACAGTGTAGGAGGGATCCAAATGTAGCCATGGGTCTGAACGTAACCAGCTTTTTCAAGCAGCTCATCGGCTTCTGTTGGACCTCGGCTTCCTGGTTTGTACACAATTGGCTTCATTTCCCCTTTACCTATTCTGTGAAGCAACGGAGTGAATATCTCCCATGCCACCTGTTCGGATCGATTAAAAAAAGACCTTGTCAATTTCAGTCCCGTACCATGGACAAAAGCATATAAGTTTTTCAGTCTTCTGTTTTTTGGTAATGCAAATCGACTTTGATTCTTGAAAGATGTACGTCGTTAGTTCATATTTTCAGTTGTCACAATGTTTTGAGAAACGGGTGTCTACTGAGAACATGAGATCTTCAAACGCAAGTAGAATGATTTCTTGTTTTGTTCTCTTCCTAAGCAAAATAATGATGTGAGAGAACTAATCATTCTTGGTGATAAATATAGAAGTTTTACCTTTAGTTCATCTCTGCGAACAAAATGCTGTTGATCCCCTCGGATTCTGCAGATACACGCATCAACCAATTATGAATCATATATATATATATATGCTTTTTGTCTTTTTGATTCACTGAAAAGTGGGTGGAACGGTGCAGGCCCATTGGAAAATATGGCATGTTGCTGTTAATGGATTCAGATCATCGCTTGGTAAGGGTGTGATAGAATTATTACGTGTCGAGAATTAGGCGTTCATATGCCTCGGGGATCGACACTCCCTGGTAACGTTGTCCGTACGACAGGTCAAGTTCACTCTGTACAGTTGACATCTCCAGACCCGGTTGCTTCACCTGCCGTATAAAAAAAAGAGGGAGTAATGGTTAACATGTGTACAATATGGATGTTCGTTATTCTAGCCCTAACTGTCTTAGAAATTTCAGTGGGCATCGGTGAAATATGGATGACTACAACCGGTGGTTAAGGTGGAAAGTAAAAGAGATTAAAAAGTTTGGACACCTACGCATTGACTGCAGAGGATAAAGGTTAATTTTTTTTTTCTTTTTTCTTTTTCCAAAAACCGATCTGTGCTTAAAAGAAACTGAATCCAAAGGTAGACTATTTTGTTCAGAATCATAGCCGCTATTATCAAGACCAAAAACTTGCCGTCAACTTCATGTACATGGCTTCTGACGGCTGCAATCGTATTACAAACTCGTTCCTTCCTTGCTTCTGACCTGTTGCATGAGAGATAATTTAAACCAACAGAAACTCTCTCAGTACACACATTTCAACCTAAAATGCTATATAAGGTAACAAATAAAGAGTTTAAGCCAATGTTAAGACACATCATCAGGGCATGATAGAGTACATTTGAATATGTCGCCCGGAGCATCCTTGAACTGAACACGTATCTCTGCCTTTCTCGAGTTCAGTGCCTTTCCGGCCTTTATTATAAATGGAACACCTGAAAGAAGAAGAAGAAATGATCAGAAAATCAATAATGAGTAACAATGGGGAAGCTTTTGATGTAACCGGGGCACCTGAAGAGAAAACTTCTCTCTATAAGCCAATGGATGAAGTAACAAGTTCTGTTTTGTTATTTGATGTCAAGACATATTTTTAGATTCGGGAGTCTTCAAATTTGGCATGGATAAGAGTACAATAGGTTCCAAGGGGCTCTGATAGAGTTTGGGCCCTAACTCCACCCAAAAGCTGGCTCAAGGGTGGAGGGTTGACCCTCCCTCATATAGAGGTCCCAGATTCCTCCCCACGGTCGATGTGGGACTCCATCAATACCGCCCTTTTTAGACAGTGACGACCACGGCGCTGACGGTCTCACGGTCGCTGGCGGCTACTCCCTCTCTTTGGGTTCCTCTCCCGACCGGACCGCTAGCCCATCGGGCCGAAGGCCCGCCAGGGTTGGGACAAAGCCCACACCAGCCCGCAGAGAGAGGCTCTGATACAAACTGATAGAGTTTGGGCCCTAACTCCACCTAAAAGCTAGCTCAAGGGTGGAGGGTTGACTCTTCCTCATATAGAGGTCCCAGATTCCTCCCCACGGTCGATGTGGGACTCCATCAGGCTTCTACTATAAGATCAGAGTCATATGATCACGTTTTCCCGTAAAACCCAATTTTTTTTTCTCATTTTCGTTTTGGATTCTTAGATGGTCTTCTAAAACTTGACTTAGATAATGAAAAGATATGAGTGGAATGGTCACCTTCCCATCTTTCATTGTGTATGTGAAGAACCACTGTGGCAAATGTTGGAGTGTTTGAGTCATCTGGGACAGTTGGATCATCCTTATACCCTTCATATTGTCCAAGAATCACCTCTTCGTCTTTTATAGGAAGCACTGATTGAAGCACCTGAAGTTTACTTAAGAATCAGCCACCTGACCTTAACTGGCTGAATATGCAGATGACAATATCACTGAAGTAATATGAATCAACCACCTACAGAGATTTCTAAAGGAAGATGTCAATATATGTTATAGAAAAATTCCAAAAGATTAACAATCCAGATGCAAAAGGGCATAGTGTAATAGACCCTGTTAAAAGGATTAAAAGGTGATCATAAGAATATATCCCACCTTCACTTTCTCATCCCGGATGTGCTCAGGTTTAAGAGAGATTGGTTTCTCCATGGCAACAAGGCAAAGAACCTGCAGCTCACTAAACCTTGTTAATATATGGATTCATTTGTCATTATAGAAACTTCTAGGATCACATTCAAATGGAAGTGTGTAATTCAAGTGAAGACCAAGACATTTTGATGGAATATTATGTTATAGGTTTCGAGAAACGAAATCCATCTAGTAGGAACCCACCTGGAGCAGATGGTTTTGAATAATATCACGGATGATTCTGAAATAGCACAAGCAAACATTTGATCAGAAACTCAAATATTTCTCCACATCATCTACATTCCTAGGAAAGAACAAAATGAGGAAAAAGTTTAGAATGTATTACCCATATTCATCAAAATATCCACCACGGCCTTCGGTTCCAAAATCTTCCCTGAATACAATCTGTACGAAGAGCATTTGAAAGTTACGTGCATTTAACCCTAAATGACGGTTAGGAATTTTTTGTGTTAGCTAACAGCTCTCACCTGCACGTTATCGATGTTGTCACGGTTCCACAGTGGCAAAAACAAGCGATTGGCAAATCGGAGGACCAACTGCAAGTCATGCAAGGGTCAGAAGATCTTTGCCAGTACAAAGCAACACATTTACTAATAGATTCTGATAGGCAAACATGTTTTACCATGTTTTGGACCAACTCCTTTCCAAGATAGTGATCAATACGGTAGATTTGTGATTCGTCAAAAAGCTCTCCAATCTGGGAACTCAGCTGCTCTGCAGATTCCAAGTCCTTGCCAAATGGCTTCTCAACCACAATTCTAGTCCATCCACCAAGATCAGCTGGAAGATTACAAGACAAGATAAATGTGAGATATGTAAAACGAAAATACTTCATTTTTAAGCTGCATCACCTAATTTGATGATGAAAAACCAGTAATGATGCAGGATGAGAGAACTCTTTAATTGGTAGGAACACACATTTGTTCATGCAACATGTCCTGATCATCTTGCACACAGAGGGGTAAACTGAGGGCGGGAGTGCAAGTTAAAACAATCTCCTGGAAGATCCTTCAGTACTATTCTTCGAGATTTCGTGCTCCGAAATTGCCTTGTCTAGTTTCTGGAACCCCTCCTCAGAATCATAAGAACCGCTCACGTATTTAATCTACAGAAATTGGAATTGCAAACCCGATATGAGTGCTGAGACATGGAGCTGAATTATTGCAATCAATATGAGCCAAAGGAAAAAACCTAACCAGCTGCAGAAACTCTGACAATGTTTCTACTTGCTCAGATGCTTTTTTCTCATCAACTAGGTATCTGTATAAAATTTCACATCAGATAAACCTGAACAAGAACTAAGAGTTAAGGAACTTCGCCCCTGGATTATATAGATGAGTAGAGATCAACAAGCCATGAAGAGAAATTAAGCCACCCATCCAACTGAAAGTGCAGCTGAATTGGACGGTCTTATCAGAGATATATGCATCAAACTGAAAAAGCTGAGTACAACAAAACTGGAGATGGTTAATCTCACCCGTGGATCCGGTTTCTCAAGTCTTCATCAGATATCCTAGTCCTGGCATAACCAAAGATGTGAACTTCATCCTGTCTGAGAAATCCCTGCTCATAAACCAAAAGAGGTAACTAACAGCTAAGAACTGGTGATCCTACACAGACATCAAACTATAAAACATACAATCACGACACAAAACCTGGCGATATAGGTGGAAAAGTGCAGGGAAAGTCTTCTTCTTGGCAAGATCACCCGAGGCACCGAGCACGACAACTGAAAGTGCAGCTTTAGAGGTGGCACGGAAATCGAACTTAAGGAAACTGTGTTTTACAGGCCTCGACAAAATATTCTTTTAATTTCAGGTAATTATCTGGAATCGCTCGAATTGCCGGAGTTTTGCTGTCGTCAACAACCGCCCCAACATGAAATTGATATAACTGGCTTCCCATGTCTTCCATCTGAACGAGTAGGAATCCAGTACAAGACTAGATAAGCCCCTACATCTTCAAGGGATGGAGTATATTTTCTGCAAGAAATGTCAGACCACTCACATACATCTCATTCAATAAAAAAAAACCCTGAGAGAAAATCATGTCAGGTTTATGGGATCTTTCAGTTCTTACAATGTCCTACAACAAACAGTAACATCTTCACCCCCAAAGGATATTTCCATGAGTGCAGATCCATGCAACTTATTCTTAGTTCTGTACCATATGTAGTCACCACCACCTTCATGTCCACCAAAATAGATTCTATGTGGCACAACCTCTTGTTTCTCGCAACACTCAGGAATTACAAGCTCCAGCCCCATAGGATTTGCTGACCGAAAAGGATAAAAGGGAGGACATGAGATTTGTCGAAAACAGTGCACAACCATCGTGTAGGAGTCTGAGTTAATGTCTTATAGTTAAAAGATTGAAATACACCCATAAGTGTTTCCAGTGATGGCAGCTGCTAAAGCTTCTCCAGGTAAGTTGAAAGAGCCATTCACATACCATGCATAATGTAGCAAGCAAGGCCACATTGTTCTCATCTTTCGCATATTTCTACTTTTGGTATCTTCGAAAGGCAATGTATACTCTTTACATTAATGGTTAATGGATAGTTCACAAAAGACGACTCACCCGGAGCAATACCATCAGATACAATACTCCTAGGATTGCCTTTTATTCTATCCTCCCGGACAGGAGTGTAGACAAGTTCAATTCTTTTCCCAACATCCTCCAGCGATAAATCCAAAAATTCTGCTCAGAGATGTTTTGTTTTACAAAAAAAATCACTGGATCAAAGAAAAGGTAGACTTTTTTTATTAAAAAACATAATTGATATTACTTCTTAGATAATTAATCGATGCACTTAATTTATATGTATATTATAATGCTCTTTGATATATTCTACACAACATTGGATTATATGAGAACATTGTAACCTTCAATGTGTTACAGTCAAAGTTCTTGTAATATAATATATACAAACAAACAAACAAAATTAGATACATAGTTTAAAGCAAAACAATCCATTAATTTTTATATATGATAATTATGTTGTTTTTTTAGATTAGTTGGCACATCGAATAAAAAAACTAAAATTATGACTGCAATTTAAATCAAATCTAAAAATTAATAGTTTTGATTTTATATCTCTATATTCACATATGTCCATCCTTTCAAACATTATATATCATATATAATCTCTAAATCAATGAAACCAATAATATTAAAATCATTGAAACAATCATCGCATCTCCTACCGCCCACGTGGAGATTGATGACATCATCATCGGTGTGCTTGGCCGTTATTATTTTTTGTTTTTATTTTTTTATATTTTAACTTCAATAGTATTAATTGTTCATAAATAGATCACGTTTTTGTTGTTTTGCTACGTTAGTAATTATGAAAAACCATTCATTATTAGATACATAGTTTTATAATGTTATAATTATAACACATCAGTTTATTCTCATTAGTTTAACCGTGCACATCTCACGTTTTGAATATACAATCAGTTTTTTAATTTTAACATCAAATATAAAGCAAGATAAATTAAACATCATGGCATTTTGTTTAATTCTCATTAGTTTATAATTAAAAAAAGAAATTTATTGTAATTAAAGAATAAAATAAAATAAAACAAAATCTATATATATTAATAAAGAAGTTTAAAGGATTGTGGTGAACTCATCTCCACCTCATCATCCATGTGTCAAGTTTTTCAATCTTTATTGATTAATTAAATTAAAATATATATATATATATAAATAATTGATTAATTAAAATCTTCATGTAAATTGATGGTTTTACTTGACACATATAAACTAAAACAAATAGAGCTTTTTTTTTAAACCCCCATATAAATATATTAAAATCCAAGTTCAAAATCTTCATTAGTTATTTAATTAGATTATCACTAAGAATTGCACGTAAAAAAAAGGTTTTATAAAAATGAAGTTATCACATATAATAAAGAAAAATGTTAACATATTATTATAGTTTAAAAAGGAAAAAGTTCAATAATTAACTTGAAATTTTTATATATTACAATTATTTTTTTATAATTATCGTTATATATGTTTTGTAAATATAACTTGAATATAACATAATTAAACATCAACAATTAAAATCACAAATATGCATTTCAAAACCGTCAGATGTGATTAACATTTATCAATAAAAATATAATTAAATGAGAAATGTTAAGTTACATTGAAAAGTCATATGGTTAATGCTGATATTAATGAGCATTTTATGTTATGGTGTATTGTAAAGTCGTGAATAGAGAAGGATAATATTAATAAATAATTTATTGGGTTTTCTTAGGAGAATTGTTTGTCTCCTCATTTGGCGTCTCTTGATATGTTCTTATCTGACCTGGTCTAATTATGAATGTGCATTTGTTCAAATAGTTTCTTTGCCCTATGGGTCTGTTTTTGCATAATTTGTGCTGCATTTGGATTGTTGACAGGAAGGAAGAGCATATATGGAGTTGCCTTCTGGATTTCCATTCGAGACTGAGGTTTAATCACAGAGGGATTGTGGGATCACCACATTCAAATGGTGGTCAGTTATTTATGATTTTGGATGAATGTGATTGGCTTGCTAAGCAGCATATTATTTTTCTGAGTGATTGATTGTTCATTGTGATGGATTATTTCCCGATGTTAACTTTCATTTGGAGAAGAGGAAGAGAAGGAATTGGCGGCTGTGTGGCAAAAAATACAGAGCAACCATGATGCAATGATCCTCGCCTCCTGAAAGCGGAAACTGTTGACAAAAATACATGCTATTTAATAGAGTAAAGATTGAAAAGAAAATTAAAACAAAGAACATGCCGATGATAGAAAGTCGTGCTTAATATTAATATCATAGTTATTATACCTTACTTTCGTAATTTTTGCGATCAGAATTTTTATGGCAGGGATGGTGGCTATGGAAGCTGCAAATGCCGTTCGCGCATCAACGGACCATTCATCCGAGGTGATGAACCCGGTGGATGTTCCATGTCTTCTTCCACACAAGAAGAAGGACCCGGTAACTGTAATATTTATGTATTATAATTTTCCTTTTTTTTTCATAATAAATATGAAATTTCTAAAGAAAAGATGTATGATACCTTTAATGATTGTTGCAGTCAAAATTATATGGGGATGTGTTAAAGGTCACGTAAACTCAACCGCCAAGAAACAAGTCATAATTTCTTAGACGTCGGAGCCAAACTCAAACTTACGTTGTCCGAAAAGATATCCCAACAAATACATCCTCCTCCGCCTCCGCCGCCGATGAGTTAGATTACATTACAAGAATCTTACTACAAATCGGAATCGACAAATACACACCAATCTCCCACGCGAAATGGTTCTCTCATTCTCATCCTCTCGACACTTCAATCTTCTACTCCTTCAAACATTTCGCCATCACATCGGAAAGGATCAAGAGCTCGCCGGAAAATCTGGATCTCGATCCGTTGTAATAGGAAACTACTGTTCCATTTAGCCGATGAGATCCTCATCGATGTCTTAAAGCCTCGCATGAACATGAAACCGTGGGTAGGCCATTACCCGATTTTATATCGTCGAGATCTTCGCGGGTCGGAGCTGATCGACGAGTTGTGTCGGAAAAACAGGGAGTTCCCGATATCTATATATACATGTATGTATGTATGTATATGCCTGTATATTTATACATATTAATTTATGTGAATAAAAAAATCAATACTTAATTTAGGAATTTTGATTTACTTATTTACTTAGTTATTTTGGTATTTGATTATTTTTATTTATTATTTTAGTTTTACCTTTTATACATGTATGTATATATATATGTATGTATGTATATAAGTATATATGTGTATGTATATGTATGTGTATATATGTAAAGATTTATTTATTTATTTTGGTATTTGATTATTTATTTTATTATTATATTATTTTTTATTTTCCATTTTTAATAAATAAAAAATATATGTATATATATATATATACATGTATGTATATATATTGTAAGTATATTTTCACATATCAATTTATGTGAATAAAAAAATTCAGTACTTAATTTAGAAATTTTTATTTACTTATTTATTTTGGAAAATGATTACTTATTTTATTAATTTATTATTTTTATTTATTATTATTATTTTATTTTTATTTTTTATATCCTACCTGTTGTTAATTTGGATGGAGATTGAACGTCATAGAATTTTCGTTTATCTAATTGGACATTATTGTTTTTACAAATCATTTTAAAGTATCATAATATTTAAAAATAAATTATGTGAGAATAAAAATAATAATATAGAATTTAAAGTATGATAAAAAGTAAGTGATGAAAGAAATAAAATATATGTTAGATAGTTATACAAAATAAATTAAAGTATCAATTTTTTCCGTTGGTGATCTAGATAATTATAAAGATATTATTATAAATTTAAATATTTTTTTTTTTGCAATATAGAAGGACATTATTATAAAATTAAAAAAAATAACATAAACCCCACCAATTCGTTCAAATAAGTCAAATCAATATATAGATTTTAAATTTGATAAAAAAAACTACAACACAATTCAAATTTTGCCAATTCCATATACCAAATCAGACAATTTGGAGAAATTTTCAATACGGATGATCTGACAGGAGAAAACCGTTCACAAATGAATATGTTGATTGTCATAAAAATATAAAACTTATTGATAGTAATTAGTAAAACACATATACAAAAGTATACATATATGCGTGTGTAATAAAACAATATCATAATTATATTAAATTAACTAACACTTCCTATAACTCAAGTAGGGGTGGGCACGGGTCGGGTACCCGGAATTTTAGGGTAACCCGAACCTGAACCCGAACCCGAATTTTTTTTTAAAAATTACTCGAACTTGAACCCGAGTTAAACGGATACCCGAAAATTGGATACCCGAACAAATACCCGGATACCCGCGAGTACCCAAACCCGAATTTTAAAATACAAAAATTCAAGAAAATGAGAATACTTAAATAAAATCTTACATAAAAACAGTCTAAATATAAAATAAAAAGATAAAAACATATAGTTGATCATAAAATATTCTTCCAAATCTTTAAACATAATTTTAATTCCATTGTCATTCCCAACTTCACTACATATTAAGCATGTGTCCTCGTTATCATCTTCCCGGACCTGTTAAGAAGAAAGAAAAAAAATAAATCATATCATAAAACAAAAAATCAAACAATATGAAACATACACAAATAAACTTACCGTTTGTTTATCTTGTTAATCCGATTCATATCCTCTTTCAAGACTTTCACTACCCTTTGATATCGGATAATCTACAAAAACATAGAAAATTAAACAATAAATATATAAAATATTCATATACATATATAAAAATAAAACAAATCATACCTTCTTCAAATTTTACAAGGTCATCCAACGATTCTTCAAGTGATACCGGTCCATAATCCGATCGAAGCCAATCTTGAGTACAAATCAAAGCTTCAACTAGTTGAGGGGTAAGAGAACTACGAAATGGATCGATAACACGACCACTCGTACTAAAAGCAGCTTCCGACGCAACGGTTGATACCGGTATAGCCAAAACATCCTTTGCCATATGAGAAAGAATTGGGTATTTTCCACCCGAAACCTTCCACCAAGATAAAATATCAAAATTTTCTGTTGATTTCTCACGTTCATCTGAAAAATATTTCTCCAACTCATTCTTCGATATCCCACCTTCATTCTCTTTTGCATAGTCTTC